ATAAATTGAATTTGTAGTTTTTATAAAGAAAACAATTATTAAAATGTACATGTTTATAGGCAATATGGAATCACTATTACACATAACTTTTTGTTCTGTAAGACAACAAAATGTCACGATTGAAGTTGCAATTCTCCATATTAAATGGCTATATATACACTTTGACAGAATTCTTGGTATATTTAAATGTTTTGATAATTTATCAAAAGGATAACTGAACTTGTGTCCTGTTAATTTACTTAATCTAGATCACATTGATAACAGTGCCACTCTCAGGGAATAAAATTGTGTGAAATGTTTCTGTTTATCCTACTAGATAACAACATGTATCACAAATCTATAGTAATGGATATGAATGGAGAGTTTCACAACAGGCCCGGGTATATGTGGGAATTTCATATATGGTAAAATTGGCATTTTAAATCAGTGGGGAAAGCATAAGTTATTCAATAAATGGGTCTGTTTGATTATTTGATTATATTTGGGGAAAAAAGAGCAAAGCTAAGTTTTCACTTTCAGTTATTTAAACATATTAAAGATTCAAATGCAAAAAATAAAACCATAAAATAATCTTTTAAAATTAGAATAGTTTTATCATCTAAAGGAGGAGAGTTTTTCTTGACATTTCACTGAGGCTGCAAACCACAAAGAGAAAAGAAAAAACAGATTTGGCTACATACAACTTTAAAACTGCAGTGCAAAAGACATTCTAAACAAAGAAGATGGGGAGAAACATTTTTGACAAATATAGAGTTGTCACCTATAATACATAAAAAGCTTCTATAATTAAAAAAATTAATGATACAGTAAAGAGATCAAAGCATATAAACAGGTAATTCACAGAAAAAATGCAAATAGTCAATAAACATAAAACAAAATGCTAAACCACTAATAAAAGCAAAACAAGCAAATAATTTTGGACTATTGGATTATCAAGGGTGAAAAGGATTGATAATAACAAGGATTGTTGAGCATATGGTAGAAACGACATATTATGAAAAAGGAAATTAGTACAACCCTCTTGGGTGGTAATTTAGCAAAATCTGTTACATTTATACAGTTTTGAGATGTGCATATTTTGAACCAGCAAATTCCTCTTCTAGGAATTTGTCCCATAGAAATGGTGTGTCAGAGGAAAAAGACCACCAACTCACAGTTTTTTCTGTTCTCTCACTCAACAAGCGATCAGTTCTGCTGCAGACACCAGCTGGCTGTCCTCTAGTTCAATTCCAATGCTGTCTACCTGGAGATAGCATCAGATCCCACAGGTTCAGGGCTCAGTCCCCAAAACCACGCCCCCTTCAGACACCAGTTGCAAATCCAGGCCTCCTGAACTTCAGACTGACCCACTTCAAGTTGGGGTTCCCACAACCCCACTTTGGGGCTCAGTTAATTTGCTGGAGTGGCTCACAGAACTCAGGGAAACATATTTATTGGTTTCTTATGAAGTATATTACAAAGGATACAGATGAAGGGATTCACAAGGCGGAATCCGACACAGAGCTTCCATGTACCCCCTGGGTGTGCCACCCTCCAAGAACCTCCGCACATTCCCCTATTGAGAAGCTTCCCAAACTCTATCCTCTTGAACCTTTTATGGAAACTTCATTACATAGGCATGATTGATTAATCCTTTGGCCGCTGGCTATCAACTTCATCTTGAGCCTCCTCTCCTCCCCAGAGGTTAGGGGTAGTGCTCAAAGACCCAACCCTGTAATCCTGCCTCGGGCTTTCTGGACACCGGCCCTATCCTGAAGCTGCCTAGGGACTGCTAGCTTTCAGTCAGTCATCACATACAAAAAGACATCACTTTAGAGATTCTAAGGTTTTAGGAATTGTTTGCCAGGAAACAGAGATGAAGATCAAATATATATTTCGCCATATCACAGAAATACATCCAAGTACACGTGGATCTTGTAATAGTCTCGTAACAGTAAGGAATTTGCGGCAAGTGTCTACCAATAAGGCATTGCATCAAGCAGCGGAACACTGTATAGCCACTGAAAAGAATGAGGATATCCAGGGTGTGCTAGAAAACAAAAGCAAGAATAAAAGATCAGTCTTTCGTCCAACAAATATTTCTTATGCCAGACATTGTGCTAGATACTGAAAATAGGCATGATGCTGTCCCTTCTAGAGCATATAATATAGAATCCTATTAAACCATTTTATTAAAAATTTAAAAATGAGTGTAAAATACATACGAACAAACATAACATCTGGAAAATAAATTGTTAGCTAAAGATAATTGTTTAGCAACACTAAATTGTGAAAAGTGACTATTTTGAGAGTTAGGATTATGGGGGACTTTCTGCTTTATACACAAATTCATTGTTTGCATTTTTCAAAAAAAATGGGCATGCATTATTTATGTTATCAGGCAAAACCATAATCTAAGCACTTTCACGGTTTCTCTTTGTCCTTGGTAGAAAGTGGATGTTACTCAAGGTCTTTTGTAATCTGATCCCAACCATTTTTTTCTGTCTCCCACCTGTAAACCAAAGAAAAATGACCGAGGCAAGCCTCAATTTAGAAGTTTATTTTGTCAAGGTCGAGGACGCACCTGGGAAAAAGGAACACAAATCACAGGAAGTCTGTGATCCATGCTTTTTCCAAAGAGGGCTTTAGGACTTCAGTATTTAAAGGCAAAGAAGAGACTGGAGGGGAACCGGGCGTGGTGGCTCACGCCTGTAATCCCAACACTTTGGGAGGCTGAGGTGGGCAGATCACGAGGTCAGGAGATTGAGACCATCCTGGCTAACACGGTGAAACCCTGTCTCTCTTAAAAATACAAAAATTCGCCAGGCGTAGTGGTGTGTGCCTGTAATCCCAGCTACTTGGGAGGCTGCGGCAGGAGAATTGCTTGAACCTGGAAAGCGGAGGTTGCAGTGAGCTGAGATCGCGCCACTGCACTCCAGCCTGGGTGACAGAGTGAGACTCTGTCTCAAAAAAAAAAGGGAGGAGGGTAGATAAAACAGGCAAGAGGTTACGTTCTCTCAAGACTTAGATTAGGCTTTGGTTAATGCTCACTAAATTCGCATTTTACTCATGAAAGGAGGGGCTAGAGGAACAGTCAATTCCGCATTCATCTTGTGCTCAGAGCATCTGCACTTTTATGTAAGATAAACACCGAGTAGAGGAAGCGGTCAAATGTGCATTTGTCTCAGGTAAGTGAAGGGATGACTTCTGTCCGTCTTTCTCCCATACCTGTGAAGATACGCTGTTAATTTACATTGTCGGGGAAATTGAACAGAATTGTTTTAAGGTAAAAATCTTGGGGCCTACAAGGAATTTCCTTGTAAGCAAATTATGTGGAGGGGGGCTCTTCCTGGGGAGGTACGTGGCCTTCTATTTTTGCAGCTAGCTATTTAGAAACAAAGTGGAAGGCACTTTTTGCATGACTCAGTTCCCAAACTGAACTTTTCCCTTTGGCACAGTAAGTTTAGGGTCCCAAGATTTTTATTTTCCTTGCACACACCATCCCCAACCCTCCTTTCTCAGACATTCTCAAACACATCCGTGAGGTCTCCTCTACTGAGATGCACGTCAACTCTCATACCTCCACATTTTTAGTTCTGTTTTTAGCTCCAACCAGAAAACCTCCTATTCCACCTTCAAGATCCTGCTCAAATGTCACTTCCTTTGGGAAGTCTTTCCTGATTAGTCCCAGAAAAGCAAATAGCTTTCTCCACTGTGGTCTCTTTACACTTTCCTTTAAAATCAAGGAAAAATGTATATACAATAAAATGCGCAGATTCAAAGTATACAGCTAGATGAATTTTGCCAAATGTGTACACCTTTGTAAGCTCCACCTCAATCAAGATATAGAACATTTCCTTCCCTGCTGGTTCCATCTCCCTTCCAGTCCATCCACAGGGGCAACCGCTAGTTCCCACTTCTGTTGCCATAGATTAGTTTCACTTGTTGTGTGTTTCTGTTTTGTTTTGTTTTTAAACGGAGTCTTTGTCACCCAGGCTGGAGTGCAGTGGCACAATCTCAGCTCACTGCAAACTCTGCCTCCCAGGTTCAGGCAATTCCTTGGCCTCAGCCTCCCACGTAGCTGGGACTACAGGTGTGCACCACCACACCTGGCTAATTTTTGTACTTTTAGTAGATAATGGGGTTTCACCATGTTGGCCAGCTGGTCTCAAACTCCTGACCTCAGGTGATCTGCCTGCCTTGATCTCCTAAAGTGCTAGGATTACAGGCATGAGCCACTGCACCCAGCCAGTTTCACTTGTTTTTGAACTTCATTTACATTGAGTAACACAAAATGTACTCTTTTGTGTCTGGCATCTTTCACTCAGCATAATTTTCTGAGATATCCTCTTTATTTTTGTATATATCAAGAAATTTGCAATTTGTATTGCTGAATAGTATTCTATTTTACAGAGATACTGCAGTTTAGTCACTCTTCTTTTGATGGACATGTAGCATTCTGTACATACTGCTCTTCTGTATAGTGGGACTGGCAATTTCTGTTTGTGTTTCGGGAAAAGCTCTCTCAAACCGTGTTTTTCCTCTGCTCTCATACCACCACAGTAATCATCAACGCAGAAGACGACTTCCGTGACCAGAGGTGTAGGTTTTTTCACCACACACCAGCAGACGTGGGCTGGGTGCCCTCCAGTTCAATTCCAATGTGATCTACCTGGAGATAGTGTCAGATCCCACAGGTTGGGGATTCAGTCACTTGAGTCTATCTAACCTGCCCCCCTTTTTCTTCTCTCTCTCTCTTTCTTTTGATGGAGTCTTGCTCTGTTGCCCAAGCTGGAGTGCAGTGGCACAATCTCAGCTCATGGCAACGTCCACGGGTTCAAGCAGTTCTGTCTCAGCCTCCCGAGTAGCTGGGACTACAGGCACCCACCACCACGCCCAGCCAATTTTTGTATTTTTAGTAGAGATGGGATTTCACCATCTTTCCCAGGCTGGTCTCAAACTCCTGATCTCAGGTGATTCACCCACCTGGGCCTCCCAAAGTGCTAGGATTACAGGCGTGAGCCACTGCTCCCGGCCCCTGCTCCCTTTTTTTCTTTCCTCTTTTCCAGTAATTTAGTCCTTGTATCTAAATTATGCTTGAATCTCGACCACTTAATCTGTGGTTAGCAGACAGTAGTAGTTCATTAAATCTTTACTTTTGAATAAGGAGGTATGAGAAAACAGTTAGTTGGAAATTAGTTTGAATAATAGAAGGGGGGTTAATCCAAATTTCGCCCATTGATTAAGGAGTGATAAGCTCCTGGGCTGTGCTGCTTAGTGGCTGTGTGCTCCTCCATGGAAAGGATGTACCATATTCAGGAACACTTTTCAAATGGTTATGTGTTGAGTGGTTGAGGGGAGACACTAGATGCATGACATCTGTTGTTGGATATCCAGGTAGCTTCAGAAACTAGTTTCAGCAGATGAAGGAACTGGTTATGTTACCTATGTCACTAGAAAGGTCTTTGTTTCTTCTGGAGAAGGCCAGTTGACTATGTCATCATCAACAAAATTGCTATAGGTCTCAGTCTGCCCTTGACCCCATGGACCCTGTGTTTGTTGTCTTCATTGCTGGTAATTCAAAGTTAATATTTGAAATGAGTGAACCCAAGCAGAAATAATGACTTTGACTTACAATACTGAGAGGTCATAGCCAACCATGTGAATAGAGCATGCTCCTTTCTGGCCTCCCACCCACAGTGTGAGTCCAAGGGAAGTATGGACTCGCCCTATGGGTGGGAGCCCAGGAAGGTGCATTATACCAGCCTTTGCTGAGCTTCTCTAGAGGGGCCAGGAGGAGGTAAGCTCTCAGTGGAAATTCTAGGATGGGACTGAGTATCATTTGGCTGTGTGGGGGGTGGAGGTGGTGGTGGGAGGGAGTTTTTTTTTTTTTTTAACAGATTTATTGAGGTATAATTGATATAAGATAAATGGCACATATTTAAAGTATAACATTAGAATTGTTTTCACGTGCGAAGAAACCACTGCATCAAGATAATGAACATATGGATCACCTTAACCATTTCTTACACACTTTTGTAATCCCTCCATTCCCCACTCCACCTCATCCCTAGGTGAGGTGATCTGCTTTCTGTCATTAGCACTGATCTGCTTTCTGTCATTAGACTGTACATTTTTGAGAAATTTGTATTAAATGGAATACAGTCATGTACCGCATAACAACATTTTAGTCAGTGATGGATGGCATATACAACAGTGGTCTCATAGATTATAATGAAGCTGAAAAATTCCTATTGCCTAGTTATGTCATAGCCATTGTAAAATCTAGTGCAGTGCGTTACTCAGATGTTTGCGGTGATGCTGATGTAAACAAACCTACTGCACTGCCAGTTATATAAAAGTTTATAGCATATACAGTTATACTATATAATTTATAAATGTATATGCTATGCAATTATATAGTATAATTGTATATGTATTATAATGTATATGCTATACAATTATATAGTATAATTGTATATGCTATAAACTTTTATATGCTAAAACAACTCTGTTATGGTTTATGCATTTACTACACTGTACTTTTTATTGGTATTTTAGAGTGTATTCCTACTTATAAAAAAAAAGTTAACCCTAAAACAGCCTCATGCAGGTCCTTCAGGAGGTATTCCAGAAGAAGGCATTGCTATCATAGGAGAGGACAGCTCCATGCATGTTATTGTCCCTGAAGACCTGCCAGTGGGACAAGATGTGGAGGAGGAAGACAGTGATGCTGATGATCCTGACCCTGTGTAGGCCTAGGCTAATGTGTATATTTGTGTCTTCGTTTTCAACAAAAAAGTTTAAAAGTAAAAAAAAAAATTTAAAGCTTATAGAAAAAGGATGTAAAGACAGAAAATACTTTTGTACTGCTGTACAATGTGTTCAAAGAGTTCAAAAGTCAAAAAACTTGAAACTTTATGAAGTAAAAATGTTAGAGTAAATTTATTATTGAAGAAAGAAAAGTTCTCAGTCAATGTAGTGTAGCGTAAGTGTACAGCGTTTATAGAGTCTACAGTAGTGTCCAGTGATGTCCTAGGCCTCATACTCCCTTCGCTCATTCACCCAGAGCAACTTCCAGTCCTGCAAGCTCCATTCATGGTGGACCATTTTTAATCTTTATAACATTTTTACTGCAATTTTTCTGTGTTTAGGTACACAAATACCATTGTGTTGCAATGGCCTATAGTATTCAGTACAGTAACATGCTGTACAGCTTTGTAACCTAGGAGCAATAGCTATACCATCTAGCCTAGGTGTGTAGCAGGCTGTACTATGCGGGTTTGGTCACACAACGACGAAATCTAATGATGAATTTTCCAGAAAGTATCCCTATTGTTAAGTGGTGTCTGACTGTATATATATGTATATATGCACTATATATACACACTATATATAGAGACACACTATTTTGTGTGTGTCTGTATGTGTGCATGTGTGTGTATTTATTCCTTCTCTCCAGTTCAGCCTTAGGAAAAGGGGAAAGCTTGTGAATGTGTCCTCAGGAAGTTGGTTTGCTGAATTAAGAGGTGAAGGTAAGGTCTCAGGAGCTCAGTAGACCCCTCTGCCCAAATGCAGTTGGCAGTCCTTGGTCAGGCTTAACCCTAGTGGAGGCCAGGGGTTAGAGCTACCATGTAGATTGCAGGTGGGAGGTTGTGGTTGACTTTTTGTAAGTCATTAGTACAAATGCTTTTAGTGCCTTTAGCCCGTAGGGGTTTTACGAGGTCACGGCATGATTGGGATAAGCTTAGCTTAGCCAGAGCCGGCTCCTCTTTCCTACTTGGAAGGTAGGGGCAATGCTGCACCTGTCCCTGGGCTGTGCAATGGAGTGAAGGGGACTTGGGGCAGTCAAGAGCGAGAGGCATTGCCACATCCCTGGGTGGCTTGCAGTCATCGTGATACACTGACCTGGTTGCAATCATTTTTATGGTGAATTATTCAAAAGCAGTACTCTGGCCCTTATCTCTGCCCAGTCATTCTATAATGAAGAGGCACGGGGTGGAGCCCGGGGACACCTTTGGTGGCATTGTTGGGCCACACACCTTACCCCTCACATCCTGCACAGCTGAATCCGAGCCCGAGGACCACGTGCGGGGCCGTCTCCAGTGTGGATGGCAGCCCGGCTGGAACGCACTGGCAGGTGGTCCCTGCTCCCCAGAGGCGCTGTTTCCTTCCGGAGGCGAGGCTGGAACTGCTCCAGATACCCAGCAGGAAGGCCACGTGACAACGGGAGGGGCGTTTCTCTGTGTGTGTGTGTGTGTGTGTGTGTGTGTGTAGGGGCGAGAGGGTAGGGGTGCCAGGGTCCTGCTGTTCACCAGGCGCCCACGTGCCTGCCACCGAGCGCCATTCACTCCGAACCGCCGGGCCCCCTGCGGCGAGGCGAGCAGGTGGCGCGAGAGGAAGAGCGGAGCCCACGATGTGCTCCTTTGGGCTTGATGTTCCTCCTGCCCTCCCGTCTCCCTTCCTGGCTTCACCAGCAAGGCTTTCCTCCCACGCTAATTTCTGTGGGACCTCTCTAGGCAGAACCCTCAGAGCCTCTGAAAGGCGGCTTCGTCGTCCTGGTCTGCGCAGGGCGTGGATTTTGAGCGCTTGGAATGTGCCTCAACTGAGAAACGCTATTTTAATAAGTTTACATCCAAAAGCCGATCATTGATTCCATTATTTGGAAAACGACTTTTCAGTGTGTTTGGAACAACTCGGATATTGGAATCTTTTAAACTGTAAATTTTATGAAATCTAAATAACGACCAAATATCTGCAAGCAAAATCTAGCATCTGAATCAAGTGTGCTGTCAGTGTAAAACACACACCGGATTTCAAAGATTTTACTGCAGAAAAAACACATGAAAATACTGGTTACATGTGGAAATGACAGTATTTTAGATCTGTTGGATTACATAAAATTAAATTTAAATTAATGTTACTGGTTTCTTTTACATTTTCTAGTGTGGCTACTGGGAAGTTTAAATTTCATATGTGTCTCATGTTATATTTTATTACATTTCTCTCGGCCCTTGTGCTCTAGGTGGTCGATTTAGGGGGATTGAGGTGAGGTAATGGCCAACCTAAAGGAGGGCCAGAGTTCCCTCTGCCGACCTATGGCTCTCACTGCTACCCCTCCCTGATTATCCACCCAGTGGATGTGGAAGTCAGGGAGACATATTCAGAGATGCTCACTGCCTGCTCCGGGAAGTGCTGTCCCTAGTGGGGTGGGAGCAAGTCTGAAGAGTGAGTGCTTCATGGGAACTCTGGCTTCCCGGCTGTCTTCATGCCTGTGCATGGCCATGACACCTGGCAGGACGCCAGAGGGGGAGAGCCAAAGTGTCCTGTATTCTAGCAGAGTACAGACCATCAGAAATGTTTCAATTCCAAAGCCGGGCCAGGTGCTATCACCTACTGGAGCCAAAGTACCCTTGAACAGTTCACCTCTCTCAGGCTTAGGGTGATTACAGTGAAAATTGGATGCTTTTCTAAATAACTCAAACAATGATGGTGCCTATTTATAACCTTTACTAGACCGCTTCTTTTCGCCCCAATCAGAATGTGAAGTCTGGATTTAGACAAAAGATTATTTGGAGGGGGTGATAGTATCTTTTGCAAAAGGAATTCAAAATAAGGTAACCGGCAACCAAGAGGGGCTGCCCACCTGCTAGGTTTAATACTCTCAGGAGTAAAGAGACATAGGACCTGTTCCCTGTGTCATGTCCCCTTGGTTGGGAACATCTACCTCTTTTCCATCCTTCTGTTCAAATCTGAATTATTTGTTCAAGGTGCAGCTCTGATCCCACCTCCTCCAGCGTCTTTCTTGGATTCCTCTAGGCTTCCCAGCCCCATTAAGCAGTGTCGTGACCTGCAGCCACACATGCCATAGGCCTCCATCCTCAGGAAAGTGATTGAGTCCACCGGCGTACTTGCCTTTGAAACCAGGTTCTGAGACGTGGAAGCAAGTGACGTTATTGTTCTGATTAGTTACCTATCCCCCTAACGGGGAGCTACAGAGTGCTTTGCAAATAGTAATGCTTTAACCTCACCTCCAAGAAAACAGAACAGTCTGATGTGAAAAACATTTATAATTTCTTGTATTTATAGTGTGTATCTTCATTATAATCATTCTTACAATAAATACAGAAGTGCTAGACCATTATCACAGTGGCCTATGGGCTGAGGCACAGGAACTTGAGACCCCAGTGCTTCTCAAGGCCTGGCCAGGACGCCTTCAGAGAGGCTAGTGAAGAGGAGAGGAATGTAGGGTGAACTTGAAATGTGATTAATAGACTCAATGCAGCACACGCTAGAAACAGATACAGAGTTATTGGTTTTTGTTTTAACTTTTACCAGATGATACTACAGAAACAGAACAAAGAAAGATTCAAGATCCCACATGAGTGAGAATCTAGGGCCTTCCTCCATGGCCCTGGCCCCAGCCTGTGCCTTGTTTTTGTTATTTCCACCTAGGCATCTGCCATGCAGCAGAGTTAGGAGCGTGTGGGCGGCCGCTGAGCATCCTTCAGGGGCAGCTGGCGTCAGTGGAATGAGTGCGGATCTGAAGAAAGGTTTCCCAGTTCCAAAGCTGGACCCGCAGGAATCCTGTGAGGATTTGCAGACATTGACAGTGTTGGTTCTTGGAGCATCTTTCTGCCTCCCTGGCTTTGTCTGGTCTCAGCCTGGGGGCTGCAAGCCAGGTCTGTGCTGAGCAGGAAGAGGAGAGGAGAAATGCCACTGTCTCACACCTCCCAGTAAGTCTCCCTTTTCATGAACAGCCCTTGTGCCAGGTACAATGGTCTCTCTGTTCTCTCACAAAACTCATCCACAAAAGATATACAGAGTCTTTTGACAGACAGTCCCACTGCTCTGGAGCCCTTTCTGTTAGTTTCTGATTGACAATTTTGAACCAAGGCCAAGAGACCCCCTAATTCATGTTGCTTCATCATGAGGGTTGTCCTTGTCATCTGATGATGCATGAGGCATGCTAATGGCAAGGCCAGGATGCCACCCCAGGCTTCAAGGCTGTTAGAGGTCCTGAGTGCACACACACATCTGAGCCCCCATTAGGTCACTTGTAACTTTGCCTAGCAAAACAGGCTCCCGAGACATAAGGCTTGCCATCATTACGAAAAGTTGTGATGGTACAGAAGAGAGAATTTTTTTTTCTTTTTTTTGAGACAGTCTTGCTCTGTCACCCAGGCTGGAGTGCAGTGGCATGATCTTGGCTCACTGCAACCTCTGCTTCCTGGGTTCAAGCAATTCCAGAAGAGAGAATTCTTAGAGTCAGAGGGAGGAGTAGAAGGAAAAAGATATTTAAAAAGCTATGCTTCAAGGGGACATTGTGTGCTGTCAAAATGAGATTGTGAATCAGAAAGTTCTCGGGGAACTGCAAGGTGCTGTCAACTAGGGGTCGGTTACTTCTCAGTTATGGCACTGAGTCATCACCTGCGGGAGGAAAATGGAGGAGCTGCACCTGTCAGAAACTGTCTGACTCAGGGGAAGAATATGGAGTATCTTAGTAGCATTCCATTATTACTGGCCCCTGAATACCATGATGATGCCAACCCCTGCACAGATAACCTCCTGCTTTTATAGCTTGAAATATATTTGATCTAAACCATGATTTGACATCCACAGAGAGAGAGAAAGGAGTAGATAAGTCCCCATTCCAGGTTGGCAGTAGGGATCCTGCAGAAGTGGCTGAAATGAAATTTGGCCAAAAGAGATGACGTTCTACAGTCATTTTGTTTCTGCCTATTTCCTCCAGATTCAAAGGCAGATTGCGTCATCTCGGAACTCATGTCTCCTCCAGGACCCAGCAACAACAGATTTTCAAGGAATAGCCTTGTTATTTGTAAAATCTGTAGAGTGTAAAACATAACTGACCCACTGATAGGAGGTTGGATTTGGACTTAGTATTGTATTGTTCTGTCCTTACATTGTGGCTTGATAAACAGAATGGGATTCCAATTCTGATTCCAAAGTGAGACTCTTCCAAGATCATCCATGTCTTCTCATTTTCTCCCTCCCTCTAGCTGACTCTCCCTTCTCATCCCCACTAAGAAGTGGAACTTGAACCTGCCTTTCCCTAAGGTCTGTGCAGTGTCTGTGATCCCAAGGACAGGACTGTGAAAGTGTCCCTAATATATCACAATGTATAGCTCTTGTTTTCTTTTTCTCTCTACAACTTGATCCTTCCTGTCCCCATTCGTCCCCGAGTTGTAAGGTGCAGATTAAAGGTTTTGTCATAGCAGAAGGAAATCAGAGGGAGATGCCCCGTCTCCAGAGGAAAGAAGTTGAATTTCCCAAACAAAACCTAAGCAGAGAGTGCACATTCTTGTCTAAAAGCTTGGAAAAGCAGCAGGATTTCCAGGACACTTGAAAGCATGCTCTGGCAAAGCCCTGGATGAAAGCGTTTTCCAACCATTAATGGTCCACCAGCATGGCTTGGTTTGTGATCCCAGAATTCAGACCATTTCACAATCTCACACAGATACAGCGAGCAGCTTAGAGTTCCTGCTGCTTGGTCTGAGAGTGTATCCCATCCATAGATTGGATGGTGCTGGGGTGGCCATGGTCCCAAGGCAAGGAGGCACCCAGCAGAGGATCCCCTGAGGCCTGTCATGTTTGCTTGAGCTACAGAGAACACCTTGAGGTGTTGCAAGTGTCCAGAGAGCTGAAGTGTGTAGGGTCCAAAGTAAGGTCCTTCCTGGATGTTCCCAGGAGCTCCGGGGACCTCAAGCGTGGGCCTCAGTCTCCTCCTTGATGGCTGGCTTGTAAATGACTCCCTTGTTATCACCTTTCTTGATACTAGAACAAAAAGAACACATAAGTCTTGTTAGAGAGGAGAGTGAGCAAGCCAGAGAACAGACTGACTCAGGTAGGGAATGAGGCCGTTTTTAAAAGTTGGATTCCTCTCTTTGGGACCTTTCCCCAATTCTGTTGGTCTTGGGAGGGAATGTCACCAAATAAAACTTTAACCAAAACAGGGCGTGTTCGTTTTCCAACTGTTCTCTTCCACACCAACAATACTAGACCTGTATTTTGAAAGAGGTCTCGTTGTCACCCCCGCTCTCCAAACCCTGATTCCATAACAGGGTTCCCAGAAACCTTTTTATTTTTCATACCCCCAAAATAAATTAGGTTTTAGGAAAAGCCAAATGTGACAATAAAAACATGGGCAAAGGGCATGAAGAGTTAGTGTGAGTGAGAGATCACGTTTTCCTTCATCTTCCTTTTTGGATTCATAGATGAAAACGTATATGTAAAGATCTTGATAAGAAGACAGCTTTGCTGCTTAGCTCTAGGCACAAGCCCCAAGTCAAGAGACTCATCCAAGGCTGTACAATAGCAGTAAGCAAGGCACACACGCTTCCAAATCTGAGCACAGTGGCCCTTGAACCCCTTGAAAGACCAGGGTCACATGTATATCTCATGCAAAGGAGGCCAGGGCACGGGTGCTTTGGGGACAGCACTCCTAGGGTAACTTTTGGTCCAGGTGACTGCGGCTCTTCATGCCACAAAGCTGCCTTCCCAGGCAGACTAATCATCATGGACACACGGCTGCCCATTCCCATTTTGGGCCCAAACCAGCTCACCTCTTCCTTCTGAAAAGCCAAATGGACACTGCCATCACAATACAGATGCCAAGAATGCCAGCCAGGGCCAGTGAGAGGATGATGCCTGGTGAAGAGGCAGAGGGCACACATTACACCCCTTCCTTCCCCTCCATCTTAGCCCATGGCCCCCGGGTGTGAAATCACGGCCCAGCTGCATAATCATCCACAGAAAGGAATAATTTCCCCATCCCTGTTCTCAGATTCTGGTCTTTGACTTAGTGGGACTGGCTAGAGTATTTTGAGGGGGCCATTTGCAAATTCTAATGGTTTTCCAGCAGGGGCTCTCAAATTTGCACAAGGGTCAGCTGAAGAGCTTGTTTAAAATGTAGGGTTGTTTTTTGTCTTTTTTTAGCCCAACCCCCAGAGATTCAAATTCAATCTGTTTGGTGTAGGGCCCAGGAATCTGCATTTTACCAAATACTTGCAGCTGATACTAATGCACGTGGTCCAAGAACCACACTTTGATAAGCCCTGGGCTACACAAATAATACTCTGTCTTTGCCTGCTGGATTTAAGGCCCATTGGCTGTCTCTATCAGTTTTGCCCCCAAGTTCCATTGCACAGTCCTAAGCAGTCCCAGACGACCAGTAGTCCATTGCCAAGGTCATACGGCCTGTCAGCTGACCTCCACACTGGGCTCTGGCATGTTTTCAGCAACAGCCTCCCACCATGACCAAAAGAAAGTCTTAGATAGGTTCTTTGAATACACACATGCTGCAGAGTGATTGGATCTTTCATTAGAGGAACATTGATTGGCAGTTCATCTTTGAATCAGAGAGCGACTCGAGGGTAAGACCCATAGCAAGGAGAGGGCCAGGAGCCAGAGCAATAGTACAGAGAAGCAGAGGATGGGCTGGATCACAGACCCAGATCACACCAAGAATCACAGTGATCACCCAGCTGCAACATGCATGGCCGGCTGCCCAGCCACATACCCAGACTCAGTCCTGCCGCAGTATAGGCTTGCACTTAAAAGGGGAGAGGAAAAGACTGGAGGTTACTCTAGAGTCAAACCACACTGGATTTGAGCAACATGTTGAGAGATGCTCTACCTTTTGTTTGGTTGGCAGTACGGGTCTTAGGCAGACACATCTCTAAGGGATTACCTGATGAAGTAGAGGAAATTGCCTATCTAGGGAATTCATACTTCAATCCCTCCTTCCCATGCTTTTTTTTTTTTTTTTTTGGAGATGGAGTCTCACTCTGCTGCCCAGGCTGGAGTGCAGTGGCACGATCTCGGCTCACTGCAACCTCCGCCTCCTGGGTTCAAGTAATTCTCTGCCTCAGTCTCCCAAGTAGCTGGGATTACAAGCACCTGCCACCACACCCGGCTAATCTTTGGATTTTTAGTAGAGACAGGGTTTTACCGTCTTGGCCAGGCTGATCTTGAACTCTTGACCTCATTATCCACCTGCCTCGGCCTCCAAAGTGCTGGGATTACAGGCATGAGCCACCGTGCCCAGCCCTGATGCTCCTTTATCACAGCAGTTTTCTGGCTAGGACAAGACTTCACTTCAGGCTTTTTTTTTTTTTTTTTTTTTGAGACAGAGTCTCGCTCTGTCACACATGCTGGAGTGCAGTGGCACAATCTTGGCTCACTGCAACCTCCACCTCCTGGGTTCAAGCAATTCTCATGCCTGAGCCTCCCGAGTAGCTGGGATTGCAGGTGTGCGCCACCATGCTTGGCTAATTTTTGTATTTTTAGTAGAGATGGGGTTTTGCCATGTTGGCCAGGCTGGTCTCGAACTCCTGACCTCA